AGTGGATTTAGGAATTTATGCGTATTATGCTGGCACAAACTAATGTCCTTCAATTAGCTATTATAAAGCCATTGCTGATATAGACCAACAAAAATCGGTCTGGCAAATCTTCTCTTTGTGCCTGTCCGTAACCTGTTATTTACCAGCAGGTCTAATGATCGATTCTCCTGTGTTACTTTACTGTGTATTTTTGGAGCAAGGTTCTACACGGCTTTAGGAGATTAGTCTAGTCGAAAGGTTGGAATACTCTTAAGCGAAAAAAAAAAGATCTTCTCTTTGTGATTTATTAATACATTGTTCACGGTAAGAAATCTTGTTGACGTCCTACATGATGAAATTCTTGAACTATCCTCATCCTATATTCTGAAAACCAACCAATTATTCCCGGCTTCCAGCATTGGTAGCAAAGAAGATTAGATTGCCTCTGAGATGTTCCTCATTCTCCTTCTCAATGGCATCTCTGTTTATGCGTTACTGTCAACAGAATTAATGCACTGAAAATTTCCTCCCCGGTAGACAACATGGCCAGGCCTTTCCGTCGAGCTCCAACTTCCAAAATGTAGAATGCGCCAATAACCACGATTATGGCCCTTTCAAAAAGAAAGTCCAGGTAAATACTTCCCCGAAGGACTAATATATCGTCAGAAAATTCAGGCATTAGAATTCATTAATCACGTAAAAATTTCTGGCCAATTTAGTCATTTCATTTTAGAATACAACTCATCATGAGATATAAATGTGTGATATTAACATATAAATGTAATTAAGAGTTAATAAAATATCAGTCGACCTGTATTCTGATATTTTATTGCGCTCAATGCTTGATTATAATACGCAATTTTTTCTCAAAAAAATTTTTGTGGCATCTTTCAAAATATGCAAAGTATCAAATGGTTTGAGTTTCTAGGATTATATATTGCTTTGAAGCAAAATTAGGGGAATAAAAGAAAGGAAAATAGGGAGAGAAAGGAATGATTTCTTTTTTTTTTTGCTTTTTGCCATATTTTGACTTAACAAGGTTAGTTTAGGAATTTCAGCAGAGAGAGCCTGCACACGCGCAAAAACTTGTGGCACGAGCGAGTCAAACCCCAGAGAGGGAGCAGTGCCGCAGCCTCTGGCAGGCTACCCATCCCTTCGGCCAGCGAGAGCGAGTACCGCTCTCTCCGCACTCTTGACCTGGGCTCTCTCTAAGCCCAAGCGTTTTCATTTCTCCAAATTCGCCGAAACAAAAGAGACTTTCTACGAACAAACAGTGATAAAAAAGAAGCCAAAAACCTCGTTTTACCTATCCACTGGGGCGACCTGAGATCGGACCGACAAAACCCTAGCTCAACCACTGAAGAATCATGTGGAGAAGACTAGTCTCTTTGCAGCTCAAAACTTTGTCTATTCCTCGATCGGTTCCTAAGCCCCATCGATTCACCGCCGCCGGTGCCGTCTCTTCATCTCCGGAGTCATTTCGGCCATCCGTCACCCTCTTCTCTTGCCAGTTCTCCACTGAAACTGGTATGCTTCCATCCAAGCCCTAATTTTTCAGTCGGATCTTCTATTCACCCTCTGATTACTACCAGGCATTTTCCTTCTACATTTGTGCGCGTTCATAAAGCCTTTGTTTGTGATTGAATGGAGAAAAGAGTGAAACTTGTGTTGAATTTTGTTTGGTGTAGCAAATGTGGCAACGAAAAAGACAGTTGAGGATGTAATGCCGATTGCGACTGGTCATGAGCGCGAAGAGCTTGAGGCTGAGCTTGAAGTGAGACTCTTTTTTACAATTCCTTTTATTTATTATTATTTTTTTTTTGTAGAAAGTCAGTTATTGTTGGCTTTATTATTTTAAAGGGACATATTTGAGGTTCTGAAATTCTGCTGTTGAGTGTAATTTATTGATAGGTGTCATCTATGGTTGATAGTTGTTCTATTTTTTGTGATTAGGGAAAGGATATTCTGGCAATCAACTATCCCGTTGGTCCTTTTGGTACAAAGGTCAGTCTCATGTTTTTGCTTTCAAGTAATTTTTTCAGCTTATCTCATTGTTTTTGGTTAAGCTGTAGTTGCTTATATTGCTATTGTTGTTATTCAAGGATTGAAATGCTGGGATTGGCTTCGAATTAGCTAGTCTGTACAACACTTACTGGTGGCTCTGAATTAACAAAAGAATTATTGTGGCATGGTATATGTAGGATGCCTTATTGGTCTAGGTGAATATAAAATAAATTATAACTTATTCATCTGTCAAATACATTTTTAATTATTGTTAGAAGTAAGACTCGTTTAAATTCCTTGAACCAGTGGTTCCATACCTGCTTAGCACTGTTTCCGATGTTCATTCGTATTTTTGTTGTTTGTGTTAGCACAGCATTGATTAAAAATGGCTTGACTTGATTCCATTATATTTAAGAACCAGTGAATCATCTTTAAAGAAATTTACTTGCTGTAGATGTGAGATGACCTTGAAGTGATTTTAAATAATTGAATATGTGCTTGGTAACTGTTCAAACATGGCAAAACTGTGAATAGTAGTGATATTGATGCAGATCTTGATTTATATTCAGAACTATGTATTGGAGTTCTTTTACTTAGCTATTGCTGTCTGTTCATCAATGTCAAATGTGGTGGGTTTTCGGCTGAAGGGGTGTTCATTTAAACTTTAACAAAAGGTATGAATGTAGTAAATTTTGGTCTGCAATCCTACATTGCATCCTTATACATTACATTGTGGTCTGATGCCATGTCTCCCATGATTAGAAGCTCATTGTCCTTGATCTATTCTGAGACCCTTGGAACTTTATTGCAATTGTCTTTAAGAGTTCCACAGCTTTCAAACTGCAAATCTAGTGGAATTGAAGTTGCTGCTTGGGTAATAGAAATTTCCTTAATTCCAAGAGTAGCATTGCAATCATGTGATGGAAATGAAGTTGCATGGGTAAATGTGACCATCTAGCTTATACCAAATAGTTAGGATAATGACTTGTTAATTTGGTTTATGTAGTTTGCCGGAGTTACGTTCTACATATTTGCTTATAATCTTTGATGAAGATTAGGTACTGTTATTGGGTTAATAGCTTTCACTTGTCTTTCACATTCAGTTATCCTCAATTTAGTTGAAGCGTATTTGATACTTAGTTTTGGGTTTTAGTTGAAAATCCATTATCCAATTCTGAAGTATAATCTTTAATAGTGTTCATTGGCTGTTCAATTTAGAATCTGTCTTTGATGAATTCATTTGTGTAGCACTTGATTGTGTTCTATTTGTTTTGATGCTTGGAACTGTCAATATTGATGCAATTTTTGTGCCTTGCTCGCTTGCAGGAAGCACCTGCAGTCATTCAATCTGTCTATAACAAAAGAATTGTTGGATGCCCAGGAGGTGAAGGCGGTAAGTCCTTGTAACTTACCTCCTTTTTCAGTTTATGATGAACCAGTAATAGTCGATTCTCAAAATGGAAAGTCACGGAAAAGGAAGAATTTAAGTGAATTTTAATGCAGTTTCTCTAAGTTGTAATGTTCACTTCTGCATAATTTTATTGTCTTCTCCTTTAACAGAAGATGAGCACGACGTTGTATGGTTCTGGCTTGAGAAGGATAAGCCGCATGAGTGCCCAGTGTGCTCACAATATTTTGTGGTGAGTAGCATGATAAATCTGGAATTGAGAATTTTAATATTGATTATATTTTGAAGCAGATACGTGTGAAGATGTATGCTGACATGCAAATTTGAGTGCTTCTTTTGTCCACTTATTTGCATTGATAAAGACAGAGTAAAAGAAATTATTTGTTGTGGTTAGAATTAGTCAACTTGATGGGATCAGTTTTGATTTTTATGGTTAAGGAAATTAAGTAGCTTCTTGTTTCTCAAATTTTCCAAGGTCAACTCTAAAGGAACGATTGAGTAATTTGCCCATCCTTTTGTCTGATACATTTATATGACCAATATAAAATTTTGTTGATGGTATGTCCAGGCCTTAGTTGCTATGATTAGCTTCATCATGTGAAGACCGACATGTAAATGTAATGGATGGGATTACAAATGGGATTTTATTGGCTCCACAAGGACATGACTCCATGGCTTAGTTATTGTGGTTAATTTGTTAAAAATATTTTTCTTGTACACAGTTAGAAGTAGTTGGTCACGGAGGAGATCCTGAAGGGCATTCTGATGATGAGCATCACTAGTCGGATTCTGCAATGAGCCGGCAAAAGAGATGATGAGAGGATCTAGCAAATTCAGCAGGATGTGAAAGCTTTGTGTTTTGTTCACTTCTGAAAAGTATGTTCTTCTGAAGGTTGCTTTGGCAACAATTGAGTCTGACAAATTTTTCTTTATACACTTTTTTGGTATTTTAAGCATGGGCTGGTCATCCATGGGAATTACGGACTCTTTGACTTTTTTTTAGTGCAAGTCAAATAATCAATGGCTACAATTGGTTCATTTGTAATTGACATTGGTACTTTATGAGACGATCCATTGAAATTGAGGTGTCATTAAATGGGAAAAAAAATAAAAGAGGAAAGGATGCAATCAAATCCACCTCCGAATCAAACCTTTCCCCAAAATCAGAAAGGACAAAGGAAAGGTTAAATGTGGAAAGAAAATGGGCCAATCGCAGACCTACTTTTGCAAGCCTAGGGAGTTGGACAAATCCTGATGCATTGCGGCTTAATGCTTATGTATGACCTTGGGAATTGTTCATGTTTTGATGCATGGCGGCCTAATGCTTTTAATAACCCGTTTGGATTGTATGTTTTCTGGATAAGTTTTTTGATACATGTTTCTCTATGATTATGATCTTTTAATATCACGCACTAGTCTCTGCAATATAGCGTTATACCTCAATCTTTTCCCACAAAAACTCCTGAAATACGCAATCCAAATGGCTACCGTCTTATTTAGTCATCTTATAAGCTTTCTGACTCAGACTCTGGTAGAAATTCAACAGTGTCGGAGCTACTAGGAAAACAAAGGCGGGGTGGCGGCTGGGAGAGATTGGAGCAAAGACGACGCAGCCGACCACTCAGGATTACGTGGAAAGGTTTTGCGTTTGCAAATTGCCTTTTGGGTTACGTGAGAAGGTTTTTTTGTATTTGCGAATTGCCTTTTGTGTATTAGCACGGAAAGCTTTTGAAAAGGCAACTTAGGCGGGTGATTTTGGAGAAATGAGAATCGAGGTGGAATTGGTTCGACAAATCCGTTCCGTGCCAAATGCCACAGAAGAAGAAGAAATAGCAAGACATCGCCACCGCATTTCCTTCTAGATGAATCACCTCACTTTATGGTTCTCCCGTCTTAATCAATGCGTATAATTCCTAATTCCCTTTGCTTTGGTGTTTAGAGTCTTTGGACAGTGACTCCAATGCTTTCGGTGGTTCTTCTGCATTTTGGTCTACAAGAAGCGACCCAGTTTCAAGACCCCATTGGGAAATAATTACAGCAGTTTTGAGCTCCCCAAAGGCAAAACTGTGCCTGATGACCGGATGGTGGACTCAATCAGTCACCCTCGGAGTAGGTAACTTCGTCCTTTCCTACAACCTTCTCCTTCTTCTTCCTTTTTTTTTTAATTTATATTTAAATATATATTGGACGTTTTTCACACATAAAGTTAATTTTACTACTGATCTCTAGGAATTAATGACTAGCCATACCAATCGTTCGTCCATCCGTTGGCAGCAGAATCATGCACGCTCCGTTGCAGTGGGTCTATTACGGCGTAGTAGGAAATTTCTGAATCTGTGTAATTACTGTTGAAAGGAATTACCTGTGGTAGCAATTGCTTTTCGGATAAACCTGTGAAATTACCTTATATTCTGTGTATTTATTATTTACTGTTGAAAGGAAATTTCTGATGTTATTTGGACGATAGGCCTTAGACTAGACACGGTTGCAGCCGAGCACGGCGCCTTTTATAGGCCAACACAAAGCATCCTACCAGCTCCAGGACCCGCGGGTTCAGAGGCTAAGGAATCTCCAAAGAACGGAGCTAGGGCTAGAAATTTCATTAGGATGTGATAGAGAATGAAGCCTGTCCGTCCATTTATATATTCGAACAAAAATACGTTGTCCCAGAAAAGCTACATGTGAATGAGTAGATCTTTTATCTCTTAGCAGCGGGGCACCCTGTGGGGTTAAGTTCCCACATCGGGTTGGGGGGTTTGGGGGGTTTAGTAGTTAAGTGCTGCGGAGCACTTCAAAAGTTGCCGGCTTTTGAAGTGTCTTCGCAGAGTCCATTTATCGAACTCATACAAAAAACTTGTGAGAAAAGGGAATGAGTAGATCTTTTATTCCACGTTTCTCCTCCATCAATTTACTGCATGATCAACATCGTCGCATGAGAACACTTGAAAATGATAGCAATCCTTAGAAATAGATCCGTTTTGTAATATATTCATTTTCCAAATTCAAAAACAATTTGGATTATCATATACAGGTTAATTTGGATTTTTTTTTTTCGTTCGGCTCTTTTTGATTCATTCTTTCATACATGTACTCGGCTACGGGTTAGTTCTCAAGTCATGGTAGAGGCCCAAATGCAGCCTGGATTTAGGTAAGGTTATTTTTTCGGATTCTAGTTAGTCTTTTCTTTTCACTTAAAATTCTGATACTAATGACGCGTCTGATAAAATTAAAGTTTGAAATCTGAAATTTGAACCTGTTAAGTTACAGAATTGTTAAATATTAAAATCCTAATATTTGAGCATGTTTTGTATTAAGTGATACGTAAACAGTTTATCATTTATTGTTTTGAATAAGTTTTGCTTAAACAATTCAGAACCATTCAATTGATTAAAACTTTTTGTTTTTGGTCATCAAACATGTTTAAACATATTAAGGTTTGAACTCAATAAATTTAAGTGCTGATTGCATTATCAAATAGGGCCTAAGACAAGGAACTTCTAGAGTAATACTCGACTGCATAGATGAGAGAATAAAGGTGCAGATATAACCAATTTAGGGCTTATTTGGATAGAAGATTATTTGAAGAAAGTCTAGAGGAATTTAGGGTTTATTTTGGGAGAACATCTTTAGAATGATATTGCAGTACTTTTTTGTGATGTGATGCATGTAAAATAAAAAGATAGTTGTTTCGATTGTTAGCCTTTTTGTTTTTTTTTAACCTTCAGAAAACTTTTTGGTTGCTAACTAATGGTAAATCTCATTAGCCAAGGGGGTGAGCTCCAGTTGTAAAATTTCTTTCTTAATGAGTAAGTGTATACACTCAATTTCAAAATTTACCGTCTCATTTCAAATTGCAATGCGTAAATTACAGCGAGTGTTTGAAATGTGAAGGTCAATTGGATGAGTAAATTTGAAGTCATCAACGTGACAACATTCGTGTGGTACGTAAGCTCCAATAAATATTGCAGATATCTCTACTCATAAAGCTAATAATTAACTCATAGTGGCGGTGAAGATTAAAATAGAATCAGGAAAAAGGCAGCTATCATTTACAAGTTGAAAGCAATCCTTCATTATTTAGGGATCGCGTATATATCTCTTGTGCAAAATTTCCCAATTTGAATCATTGACAGGTACTATCTGGACAAAATAAAGTTAGTGCCAGCAGCACAAATGTTGTCGAGAGCTAAAATAAACACTAAACTTTGAGAATGAACAGCCGTGGATTCTTCTTTTTGCTCTACTTCTACATGGGGGTGTTTTTTTTTTTTTTTTTTTTTTTGGGGGGGGGGGGTTGGGAGGAAAGTGGAGTTGACATGCTAATTGCTAAAGATACGAGTGAAAAATATCTCCCCAAAAAGGAGGGAAAATGGAATACACGAACATCATCAGATGCTCTTTTGCAGATTGGTCCAATCATGATGCTACACGTTACCAATAATTTCTGAATTCAGGTCAACTAGTTAATGATGATGTCAAAAGAAAACTTTGCAAGTTAGTGATGGGGTTGTGATTCTATCTATCATACTTAGAGATCTACATACAGACTTTGCAACCAAAAAATAATTGCTTAGTGCTAAGCATCGAGGATTGTGCATTTCCGCAATTGATTAGAGGTTATTCAAAACATTTCTCGACAAGGAAGGGATCAAATAATAAATAGAAGGGAACCACCGCTGCCCAGTGGCCACTAAAAATGGCATTAAATCCCTTTTTGAATTGGAGATCAGAAAGTTCGAATTCTATCTATCTGTAGTGAAAAAATTTAAAAGAAATGTAAGAGCACCTCTTTGAGCTAGTCGAGTTTGTGCACCTTTGTTAGTCTCTTATATAGTTTCTTTAGACTTTTTCTTCTTGTAAAATAAGATAGATTAGATTATAAAAAATAAAAAATAATAATAAATAAAAGGGGAAAAGGGAAATTTAAAAAAAAAAAAAAGAAAAAGAAATTGGAGACTTTAGGCCTTTTACCTTCTAAGAGTTGTGCAATGACGTCCCATGGGCCCAAGTCACTGAAAAATGTGGGCCAACGTGTGCCACGAGATCCATTCTCCACGGACCACCCCCTGAGCAGGCATTGGTGTGCCATTACACAGTTGAAAAATAGCCAACAAGAAAACAAACAGAGGTAGGCCCATATACTACCATCAGAAATTGGAAATATTCAATTTCTTAAGATGGAAAAAGGTGAAAATAACGATAAGAGAAGCCAAAGCTGAGCACATATCAATTCTTTAACCAGTAAGATGGCGAGATACCCATATGTCTAGTGCAGCAGCAAAAAGAGTAATCAGGGCTATATCACCCTTTTTTTGTTTTCTTTCCATTTTATTGAAACATAGTATGAAATAGTTGGGACTTTAATTACACGTTGTCATCAAACACTCATTGGAGTTGTAAAATGTAAGTGTTCATTTCCTTAAAATGATTATATATAATCATCATAAAAAGCACAGCACACACACATTTCCTGCAGTACACATTTAGCCTAAAGAAAGTAATGCTCCATCATCATTTGTACAGTTGAGAGCTGTATCCCCTTCATCAAGGCCATGCAAAAAAAGAAAATTAAGAGTAGTTTTTCACCAATTATTTTTGCATTTATATATCATTAAAATAGTGGGATGCGCAATTTGTAGAAAGCATGGACAGCTCAGATGCTATTCATATTTTCTTTCTTTGTAATCTCTTCTTATTGCATAGAGATGTCAGTTCATTAATGATGTTTTTCCAATCCATTAGTCGCGTTTATGACATCCTTTATCAACAAGTTCAGAAGGAAAAAAAAAATCAAACTGATGAGGTCAAAAGCACCAAAATGACAGAGGTGAAAATTGAAAAGAAGGCACAGAGCCAAGAAAGAGAGAGAGGGGGAGTTCGGTGGGATGTACTCAGGCTGTGATAGTCTTTGAATTCATCATGAATTGTAGTAATAAACCTACAAAAAAAATTACAAAACCAACGAAACAATGAATGAATGCAAAGACTTTGAGGAAACTTGAACATTACCAAAGTGCAAGTGGCAAGCAGCAAAGCAAAGCTAAGAGATACAAAAACAAGAAAGAAAAGAAAAGTGCAGATGGGATGATAAAAAGTTCATATGCTTTTTCCGATGTTGTCCCTTCCACCACCCAAGAACTCCAGGTACTTAATTACGTACCAATTAGTAATACTGCTCATCCCGAATGCGAATCTTTCACACTCTCTTTCTATATCTACATATATATATATATATATGTGTGTGTGTGTAGTGTCTAGGAATTTTGATTAATCATCAATCTTTTCAGTAAGTATTATCAGCGTGTGTATAAGATATATATGCATGGCTAGAAATTAATGGTATGAGGTAGCTAGCTACTAGCTAGTGATGAGAGTCTTTTTCGAAATGGTTGATTATTCTTCTTCCCATTATTATTGTCCAGATTTGTGCTATACCACAATGATGTTAGATTGGACAGTTGAACTTCACTTTGAAGATAATGGGTATCCATCAATCATCAGAAATAAAGAAAAAAGAAGAAATGCATAAACAAATGATTGCGAGAAAAGATATTTTCTTTTTACCAAATTGGATTATTCTCTTTCTTGTTTTCAGCAATATTCTTGAGTTGTAGTTGTGGGTTTACTTTATTTATGGAGAATAGCCACTGCCCACAAGCATAGATTCTCTTCTTTGTGCTGTAGTAAATCTAGAGCCCTCCATTTCCAAGCTGGGGATTTCGCTCTCTCATGGGAATGGAATGGTTGGATGAATGTGCTCTGTATTTCCCCTTCCTGCTTTGATTCCCTTTTCCCCTCTGCTGATGAAAAGATTGCCTGCTTTTGTCCTTGTCTTTACCTCTCCTTTTCATAGATGATGCTCTTTCTATCTTTTTGAGTTTCTAGGCGGTTTTAGGCACAATGCGTAGCTGTTTCTCACATACTGTGTTGCATATTCACATGTTTTATTCCGTCTTCAACCTGCTCTTAGAGTTTTGGGTATAAATACCTCGATATCATTTTGTGTTTCTCCTCATAGCACCACCGACCGTCCTGAGTTTATCACTAATTCTTACAGTAGCAAGTGGCCTTGAATATTGGAGGGTGCATTAATTCCATTTCTGGCAGCCAGATATGAGTTACACAAATTCTTCAGTGGGTTCTGGTTAGTACCAACATTTCTTTCTCCCGCAAGTATTTTCTTGTTTTGCACTATTCATCAATGGCGCTTGCCTGCATTTCACTGTAATGCTCGTTCCATTCCACCCCTGACCTGGATAAAATTTCCAGGAAGTAGAGGAGCAAGGAGAACATTTGACTTTGGGAGGACATATGTGGTTAGGCCTAAAGGCAAGCACCAGGCTACAATTGTTTGGCTGCATGGCCTTGGTGATAATGGCTCGAGGTAACATTGATTTAGACATCAGCAACTCACTCTCTTAGTACATGGCTGTCTGCATCCTTCTCCTGTCTTGCTTGAAATCAAATGGTCCGGGAGCTACTGCTGGGAACATTCGAGGAGACATCATTCTACAGATTTTAAAATTTCTTGTGATCAATAATTGTCTCAATTTTGTTCTATAGAAATTGCAAGCATCAACGCATTATCATCGGGGTGGTGCACTTCATTGATCAACTATTTGCTCTGTTTTAAACCCTATATGCTGCTCCCTAGGATCTACAAGTACTATCTAATTTGGTTCTGCAGTAAACGCATTTCATTTTCAAGCTGGAATTTCATACTCTGAAGCCAAGGATAGACTATTGTTTTCCGGACTAGTGTGAATTTTTGACTTATTGTGCAATAACACCTTCCATTTCCTTTTCTCCTTTATTACTAGGAAAATGCTGGAACTTCCTTAGAGAAAAGAAAAGAAGGAAAGCAGCTTAAAGAATGTTAATTTGTTGACAGATTATATGTCTGTTCTTCTGAAGTTTAATTACTTTTCTTTCTGAGCCGGCTAACTTTTTCTGGAGATTCTTTCACTAATTGCGGAAAGCAACTGCGGCTTGAGCTTTAACGTTTGTCCTACTTATCTGATTGAGTTGATAGGGGAAAGTGGCGCTGCCATAGAAATATAGAATAATGGAACCACTTTACCTCTTTTGGTTTAAATATTTTTGTCTTGTTTTATCCTGAGCTTTCCTTGAAGATTTTGAAAGCACGACGTGCCAAAAGAGGAATTATTGTTCAGGATATCCATACATATATGGGACCACTTGTTCACTTACTTGTTATCTTGTCAATTAGCAAATAGAGGAACCATTGTTCAGGATATTCAAACACATTATGCCGAAAGATGTGCAGAATTCTGAAGTTTAACAGATATTCCGCATTATTTGTCTGCATATTCTGAACAGGAGTGCTTTCCGGTGGCTTCTCCATGAGCATTTCATGGTCTTTATATTAACTATTTGGCATCAGAAGAGTTGAATTCCAATTGCTCCTTATATCCTGAATGGATGGTTCGTTCTGGGACTGTATTAGATGCATTGTATCCATTGATACACTATTCATGAGTGTTACACATGATTAATTAAAAGTTCATGCAACCACAGAAATATCTAACCACCTTCACCTTTGGATCAATAAAATTTATAAAGTGCAAGGAAAGAGTAAAAATCCTCTAAATGTCTCTCTCTTTTTCTGCAGTTGGTCGCAGCTCCTGGAAAGCCTTCCACTGCCAAATGTAAGAGTTTGTGCCCCATCTAAAGTATTTCCAGCTTTGAAACTAATAATTGATCTTTTGTAACTGCTTTTGGTACTGAAAGGGTAAGCACATTTTGCAGATTAAGTGGATATGTCCAACTGCTCCCACTCGTCCTGTGGCTATACTTGGCGGATTTCCTTGTACTGCTTGTAAGGCTATATCAGAAAACTTCAATACAATGATCTTACTAAACTACTATTTACATGAACTTTGGTCTTTTACCAGGGTTTGATGTTGGAGAGCTTTCAGAAGATGGTCCTGATGATTTCGAAGGCTTGGATGCTTCAGCAGCACATATTGCAAATCTTCTATCTACAGAGCCTGCTGATGGTAAGTCCTGCATATGCCTACATCACTCAGTATGCATTACCTTTAGTGAATTGCACAACTTTAAATTTGATATATTTCATATGAAAAAAATAATAATAAGAAAAAAGGCATACAGATCTTTCACTTTACAGCTCCTGCATCTAGATAAAAACGTTGACTAAACTAGGCTCCATTTCTTTCATTTCTTATCTGAGCTATATTATCATATGATGTCAAAATAAGTTTCTCGGGCAGTCTTTAAAGAAATTGATACAGATATTCTGACTTTCGATGTACAATTGGTGGAACAGTTAAACTTGGAATTGGAGGCTTCAGCATGGGCGCTGCCACTGCTCTGTATTCAGCAACTTGCTTTGCCCATGGAAAATATGGAAATGGAAACCCTTACCCTGTCTACTTGAGAGCTATTGTTGGTCTAAGTGGATGGCTTCCTGGTTCTAGGTATGACAGCAATTTATTAGCTTCTCATGTAAAATTTTGTCAGCAACAAGTCCTTTTATCTACCATTTGTAGTGCATAATAAACAGAACTGGAAAAAATGTGTCAAATTTTACATAAGAAGAAGATTACTTGAATCTCAATTTATGCAAAACGATAGTAGGGAAAACACGTAAATACTATTTGTTGTGAGATGGCAGTTACTTTAACTGATGCTCAATAAATTTCAAATTATCATCGTCAATAGAAGCTGATTTATGCCACAAGAACAAGTTTGGAGAAACAAATTTTTAGCTTGTGATTCACAAGATTAATTAATGGAGAATGCTTTGTGCTTAGATGTTTGTCATTTAGTTTTCCTTTCGTGCAACTTTGTGCTATAAAGATTGAACGGTGCTCCTACACTGCAGCGCTCTTCTACAGAATTAGTTAACACTTGATATTGTGCAGGAACGTGAGGAACAAGATTGAAGGATCACACGAGGCTGCAAGACGTGCTGCATCCTTGCCCATCATGCTATGTCATGGAATGTGTATGTACTTGATAGAGCGCCCTGCATTGAAATTCTATAGCTTTCTATTCAGAGCTCCTATCCAATTTGTGGTCATATTACATGGGGGAACTTGGGTAATTTTTACTTAGATCAATCCAAAAGTAGAAGAAAGACTTTCTCAAGTCACTAAAGAAGCAGCGTGTGGCTAATGTAAGGAGGATTCCCATAACAATTGAGTGTTATATAAATTTCTGCTATTGACAGGGCATGTGGTCATATTTGACTCGTTTAGGCTTCCCTCGAGCACTTACAAAATGAGCCTCTGAATATATATATGCACGCAAGCACTTCGAAACTCGTGAGGTCAAATGGTTGGATTATAAAAGCATGCAAACTATAAAGTGTTTGTCTTTTTATTATCTATATATTGCTTGCAGGTGATGAAGTCGTCCCTTATAAACATGGAGAAAAGTCGTCCCAAATCCTGAGCTCAGCTGGATTTCGATGCCTTACATTCAAAAGCTATGACGGGTATCTGATCTTTCATCAGAAAGCTAAACGTACAATTATCTAGCTTGAACCATATGCTGAATGTTTACCTCATGCTGCAGGCTTGGCCACTACACTGTGCCAAAGGAAATGGACGAGGTTTGCCACTGGTTAAACGCAAGACTGGGGTTAGAGGGTTCACGATAATAACTGCTCGCCAGCCATCTTATTTCTTGATCACCGTTGCCAAGGGAAATGGGGCGAATCAATAACAAAGGAAGAGCTTACACTTGCAGATGCGGGAAGTAGCAGGTAGACATATAAGGGCGTGTTGCAGAGTGGAAGGTTTAAATCCTAGGAATTAATCATGCTTTTGGGTTTTTTTTTTCTTGTGAAATAAAGTTTTGGGGACTTTGTTTCGTTTCATTTCACTGCTAGCTAAGTTTTAAGTATGCTCTCATTACAGTATGTTGTAATCTACCTGAAAGACTATGAGCCTTTTTAAGCAGATCTTGAACCTACATCCTTTCTAACAGAAGTGTTGACTAGATTGAAGTGAAGATAGTAGTTTCTCTTTTCTTCTTGTAAGATAAAGTTGGAAATCTACATCCATTTCAATGTCTTCAATCCCACGATGAAGAACTCCTCGCTGGCTAGGGACCAAAGTATGAGGAGAGAATGTGGATTATGATGCAGAATCAAGATTCAACAGCATCATATTCTTAAACTCACATCCAATCCAAGTGAAACTGCAGAGACGTAAAAATGTTCACCGTTGGATGATTTTCAAGATAAAACTCATTTTTTGTTTGTTAGTAAAAGTTCAGCTTCCCAATTTTCTCTCATCTTCTTATATAATTTTTACTCAGATACCATCTCTCTCTCATTCGACCTTGTTCAATCATATTCGAACAAATTTTTGAAAAAGAAAAATGCAGAAAAATTAAAAAAGGCCACCACTTATGATGTTCACAAAGCTTTTTTCACTCTCAAAATTGAAGCAATTTATTAGTACCAGTGTTAAGAAGGACACACCCAATGCAATGTCAATGTGCGTGTGGTTTAGAAATAATTATTGATTTTTATGAATATACTAGGGAGAAATAACCCGCGCGACGCGCGGGAATTTGGTACTTGTGATTCAAGATAATTAATAATTATTGTTTAATATTTTGTAGTATAGGAACTAAAGTATGATGATTTTATCATGTGATTTTAATAGAAAAATAATAAATTACATAGTGAATTAATAAAAATAATGTGCAATAAGACATCCTTATTGTTATATTATATAAGAATCCGTTGTGATCAAAGGTTATGTTTGAATTTCAACTGTAAAGATAAGGGTAGTTTGAAAATATAAGAATGTTTGAAGTGCAATTGAAAAGTATCCAAAGGTCTCTTCTAAAACTTATCCAAGACGATAAAACATTTTAAAGTATCAATTGGACCCTTCATCTCTTGAATCTATATATGTTCGTGAAAGATCCCTCAAGCAATGCTTCTGATTTCTCCCTCGACTTAAGCTCAACCTGAATTATCAAGTCAAGTTTATCCATCAATCATTTTGCGTCCAATCTAATCTAAAATAATTTTATTTTTTACTAACTATTTATATAATTTGGTGGGTATAATACGACTTAATCACATGTTTCTTACAGAGATAATAATGTCCAAAAATGATAGATAGATATGAAACTTAAGTGGTCTTTTTCAAAGTTTTGTAGAAACTATTCATATTTGGTATTTTTTGCTAGGGGCATTTCTATATAATCTCATAAATAAGTTCAAATCTGTATAATTGTTAAAAATTTGAATTGAAACTATCTTGATTATAAAAAATTGGTGCAAATAATATTTTCTAAATTTGAAATTGTAGAAAATGGTAAGTAAAATCAGAAGAAATTCCTCATATGAATTCGAATTGCAAACTATAGGTAGAAATTGCTTAATGATATTTTTCAATGTTTACTTGTATAAGTATCCAATATAACATCTCTACTTAATTGACTCGTTTGAACTATGGATAATGATTGTTTCAATCAAATCAAGAAACATTATTTATCATTGTACAACATATAATTATGAGTAAATGAATTAATACAATGCAATCAAAATGGTGCTGTAGCTAAAGCATTTAAACTCATCAAGTTCCACTACAAATTCTTTTACATAGCAGAAAAGTAAAATTTTTGTATTTGAAACTATATAAACAGTATAATACAAGAACGAGATCATAACATGGAAAGCAAATAGAGTGCAAATGACATCTTAGTATTATATAGTATGATTAATTTTCTTTTTTAGTTTCAATGAAGTACAAAATTCTAAGTTAATAAATTTTACAATCATAAAATTCCCAATAAAAATAAACATAAGCTGAATTTCAAATCATATTACATGAAAAAATAACTACTTGAACCATAACTGTTGGAATGCAGTCAACAGATTCCTGGAGTCAAGAATAATAGGAAAAAGTTCATGAGAAATAAGGTTATTTGATTTAAATAAAGAAATAATATCTTGGTTGGGGAGAAGAAAATGATAAAATTACTTTTCTGATTATTTTAGAAAGTGACAACATTATTTTAAATTGTACTTTGACCAGAGACAAAATCTCTGGGATCTACTAAGAAAAGCAATACAATTAGTTAGTTTTTGGAATTAGAAGTATCAAAAGGCAAACTATATGGAGTTCTTGAATAAACCAATCATCAGGGAAAAAAAACTACAATCTAAGAAGACAAACCCAAAGAACTCACCTCAATTTAAAGGAAAAGTTATGCATTCCACCAAATATTTAATAGCCATAATAAAATCAAAGAGGTGAAACCGAAAAAGAAGAAAGTGTATCGGCTAAACATGGGGACATAAATATGATAATGATTGTTCAGATAATAATTAAGTTAATTAATTGTAATTAAAATCCAATTATATAAACATCCAATTAATTCCTCAACAGATGAGAAAGGTTTCAGGAAATTAGAAGGGTTGGATGTTAGTATAATAAATGATTAAAAGGACTTTTATGTAATTCTATCAAAATACAAACTTTATTCAGTTGTACTTGATACTCAACTTGGCACCAAATATTGTAACATACCAAATCTGCCCCTAACCTTAAATGTCTGAAAGGTTATATAAGTAATTATAGTGAAATTAAAGCTATAATGACTTGTACTCAATGTTCCAATTACTCTTCAAACACTATCATATTCCCAAAATAGCCTCACCCCTGCGGTTGAAATCTAGTCTTAAACTCGTTCTTATATAGTATAAGGATTCATTTTGTTTTTACAAAAATAAATTTTATATAAATTCTTCTTGAAAAAAATTACAATTTATTAGTAATTTTTTCTTTAATACAGTTATAGTCTACATCTAAGAGAGTTAGTTATTGGGAGATTATATTAGCAAAAAATATGATTAGGTGGTTAGGATAAAAATTAATTTTTTTTAAGCGCAAAATTGAAAGTTCAAAAATTGACCCAAAATGTTTAACTCACCTCTCTCCTCTTGTTGGCTAGCTCACTAAGACAATATGGATTACTCTTTAAGTACTCCCAAAATTAATTTAAAGGAAAAAGTTAACCATAAATTGAGGTGAGGGGAAGAAACGAAAATTGAAAGCCGATTACCCGACGACCGAACATTTGAACCTCCCTCCTCTTCCTTGCTTTTCATTAGGGTTTAAGAGAAATCCTCAACGGTTGCCTTCAGGGGTTTTGCAGTCTCTCTCTCTCTCTCTCTGTCAGACACCCGCACTATGAATTACAGGTTCCAGAATCTCCTCGGAGCTCCATACAGAGGTGGCAACGTCGTCGTTGTCAACAACACACTCCTTGTTTCACCGGTCGGTAACCGAGTCTCCGTCACCGACCTCAGTAAATCAGAAACCCTGACTCTACCATGCCAATCCTCCACCAATCTCCGCCGAATCGCTGCCTCACCTGATGGCATCTTCCTCCTTGCCATTGACGAGAAGAATCGCTGCCTCTTCATCAACCTACGCCGCCGCGTTGTTCTCCATCGTATCACTTTTAAACACCCTGTCTCCACCGCTAAATTCAGCCCTGACGGCCAGCTCATTGCCGTAGCTGCCGGTAAGCTTCTGCAAATTTGGCGCTCCCCTGGGTTTAGGAAAGAATTTTTCCCTTTTGAATTGGTTAAAACATTTGCTGATTGCAATGATAAGATTACTGCTCTGGATTGGAGCCCTGACTCGAATTTTATACTTGCTGGCTCCAAAGACTTGACAGTTAGGTTGTTTTGCTTGAAAAAGCTAAAGAGTTACAGTAAACCATTTTTGTTCTTGGGCCACAGAGATGCAATTGTTGGCTGCTTTTTCGGAATTGACAAGAAAACTAACAAAGTTTTGAGGGTTTATACAATATCGCGCGATGGGGCGATATTTAGCTGGGGATATAGGGGTGGTGATGGTAAATTTGATGGAGGAGGACTTCAAGAAATTTCAGAGCCAGAGTCTCCAGGTACACCGGAGCAGAATTTTGATGGTAATCTCGCAGTGGAAAAAAGGAAGGATGTTGATGGTAAAAATGGAACTTTGGATGACGAGAGTGACTTCTTGTTGCATAGGCTGAAATGGGAACTGATGAAGAAGGACTATTTTATGCAAGCGCCAGCAAAGTTAACTGCTTGTGATTATCATACGGGACTTAACATGTTGGTTGTGGGTTTCTCAAATGGAGTTTTTGGCCTTTATCAGATGCCTGATTTTGTCTGCATTCACTTATTGTCAATATCAAGAGAGAAAATCACCACCGCTGTTTTTAATGATCTGGGGAACTGGTTGACATTTGGGTGTGCAAAGCTTGGTCAGTTGCTTGTTTGGGAGTGGAAATCAGAGAGTTACATACTGAAGCAGCAAGGGCATTACTTTGATGTGAATTGCCTAGCATATTCTCCAGATTCCCAGCTTTTGGCTACAGGGGCCGATGATAATAAAGTCAAGGTATGTGAAAGAAATCAGACCTGCCTTTTCGTGGTTAGAGTCCTGACTTTCTTCATCTGCTGAAAGCACTTGCTTTATTCGCTAGTCAATTGTAGATTGGCACAATTAATATTTTCTTCTTGTAGGAAATAACCTTCCCTGCAAAATACAATGACAAACTTATAAAATGAGTCTCAAATTTTTTTCTTATTTTATTATACAGAGTATAATTCATGAAGTAGAATACATGTTTCACAGTCCTGCAAGATGTAGCTCAATGCAGATTTGTCTTTATAATAGTGATCTTAAGCAGTTTGTCTTGTCATGACATGTTCACTTCAGCCTGAAAATTTTTGCAATTACACTTGGTTGTTGTTAATTTGGCCTCAAGCTGAATCATGAGATTTATTTCTTTGCCTTACAGGTATGGACTGTTTCATCTGGCTGCTGTTTCGTTACATTCTCTGAGCACACCAATGCAGTTACTGCACTTCATTTCATGGCTAGTAACCACTGTCTTTTGAGTGCGTCGTTGGATGGGACTGTTCGTGCGTGGGATTTGTTTCGGTATAGAAACTTTAGAACATTCATTACTCCTACTTCTAAACAGTTTGTTTCTTTAGCAGCAGATCAGAGCG